TTGCACAATAGAGGGATCTCTTGAACCGTTGTCCAGACCCGGCCTGATTTCTGAAGAACCACTCCCAATGAGAACAACTGACTTTCGAGAAAGACTTAAGATTTTAGGCGTTTATGTTGGCATTAGAAAACACCTGCAGCGTCTTTCAGCGTTTGATATCACTTTTACGCGCTTAAAAACTTGAAAATCCCTGATATAATTGAAGAATTCTCTGACTAATGAATTATATCAGGACGGAAGATGGAGAGAGAGAGAGAGATGCAGCAATATCATATCGGTCTTATTTTTTAATGAATAAATGTCAATAGATAAAAAGGTGAAAGATCGACCCAGCAGGGAGTAGAAAATAAGTCCCATAAAAGAGAAAAATGTGAGACCTAAATTAGATAGGGGCCACAGAATATATACGTTCCACTGAGAATTTGAAACGGACTAATGTCTGTTCCAATCGGAGCATCCTTGATTCAGAAGTTACCAGAGCCATCGCTATGCGTTGGAGATAACTTCAAATAGAGCGCCTCTTCATCACAAGCTGCAAATTTTTCCACCCATGGAGAGGCATTCATCGGGACTATCGAAGGCATCGGATTCATGACACCTCTTCGAAGGTTGCCATGACAATCAGACGAAACGCTGCTCGTAGGAATCATTGCGTCTTCGATGCTGAAAAACAAACAATACGACTGATTACTAGAAACGAGTGGGGCAGCTTCTATCTGATTTTCTCATTAATGTGCGGAAAATTACGGTTGTACCAATTAAGGGAAGGTTTCCTCGTGACGAAAGTTGGGCCTGCTCACTATCGAAACGATCGATTGACCGGATAAATACCAGAATTTCTTTATGGAAACGTGGGCCACTGACGTGGATTCTTCGTTGCCATCAAATGGAGTGTAAAGTGAAGAGCGAATATGGGTTGTATCTACTTTTTTTCTTCCATCATTCTCATCCTTGTACTGTCCCAAAATTGCCCTAGGAACATATTAGCAGAGTTATCGCCATTGTAAAGACACGAGATAGAAAAAATACTCAGCCCGATTGGTCCCTACAGGTGCAATTCTGAGATCTCTGATCAACATCACTTGGCCAATGGATTCTTATGAAAAGACACCTCAGAATGTCAAACCTCTACCCGCTCGACCCCATCATTCTACGATATCTTTTAAACCTCTTAACCCGACTTTCTCCCACCTGTATCGCGCTACCGCACCAGTTACAACAGCTAACGGGACGATCCATCTCTTTCTCTAACATCGACATTTTCCCTGAAGCTTGACTAGCTGCGTTCGTTAAAACCTCCTACTTTCTACGCATTAGTACCATCTAGATAATATATGTCAATATTCTGGAAGACCTTTCATCCGAAGTATTTGGGGATTTCGTCACTCAGGGGAATCGGCCTAACTAAGTACATGTTTGACATTACCGTATTGCCTTACGCACAAATAAACTGTGGTTAAGGAAAACGAGATGCAACCACCAGTGAAAGAACGATGTGGTCCAGTCTCGGGCGGTGCCATATTGCGCTACTGTGGATCCGTCTTTTCATGACGCCAAACGAACAGTACTACCCAATGAACTCCAACTGTCAACGCCAGTTCACATCGAAGAGTTTGAGTGGCTTAAGTTTAACCTTTCATCTTTCTCCCCTATCCTTTACATTGGCGGCTGACTTTTCGAATGGGAAACGACCTTGTACAATGTTTGGAGCTGACGGTGCCCGGCGAGACTAACCATCCAAGACCCTCCCCCAGACGTCTCTCTTCCTCTTCCCTCGTATATAATGCATATATAGCCTCGGTTTCCTCGTTGTTATCGTCGTCATCTTGTTTCTTGGGAGACTTTACATTCATTTAATGCTCCCGTTATCTCCTTGGTTCGATGCCATGTCCTCTCTGATGAATATGATTCAGCGGAACTCTGGGATGGCTCGGCATTCAGGTTTCTGCCCGAGTTTCCGGAGACGGGGGATAAGCGGATAGTGTGTGACTCTTGCATCGATTCCCAGTGTTACCCTAACCACGTGGCGGACAAATTTGTCGGCCCAGATATGAGAGGACCTGCATGCAAATGACTGGTCTCGGTTTTCTTCTTCTTCGTCGGTGCGAAAAGAGAGATGACTTGTCCCCGTGCCGATAATGATGAAATATCGTCAGTTTTTTTCCAAGAAGTTCGACGATTGATGGAAAATAAAAGACTCGTCTCGAAGTGGGTATGCCCATGAAAAAGATACAATAAGGAAAACGAAAGCACAGTGCGGGCAAATTTTAAAAGATAAACTGAAATCCTACGGACCTGAAAAAACCACATTATATTGTATAAATCTTAGTGCAAATTTGAGATTGTAAGAGTACTTTTCTGCGACTAGGATCTTAAGCGAATAGTTTCTATGAATTTCGTTTGTCTTGGAATGTCGACCGTTCATATTGAAAGAATTTCAATTTGGGTGTAGAAGCATGATGGTCATGATTAAATCCTCGTCAACTTTCTAAACACATTGTGGGATAATTTCTAATTAATTGAGAAATTCATTCCTCATTGAAATGGACTACAGTAGTGCTCATCAAACTTTGAGGGAATCCATTTATACTAACAGAAATATGTGACTAGATTAAGATACCTAAGTGCATAAATTTCAAGCCAACCTTTTTATTGAGAACAATAAGGCATACATTTAAACTTAACTCTCAAAAATAAATACAAATATGAGAAAATCAATGTCCCCACTACGGATACACAGCTTATCCTCCAACCAGCACATTAACAACCAGCTCAGTGTACATATCGTGTATTACTCTCTTCTTCACTCTGAATTATGGCCAAGTTGTAATCTTCAGACTCCATTATACTTGTCATCCAAAAAATGTTTACGATGGATCCTTACTTATTTTTTCAGCGAAAAAATTGAGTCTTATAATTATTTAGAAACTTTTTTTTTCTCTTCATAATGTTGAAATCAGCAGGCCAAGAATGGGACGCTGAAATTCGGATGATTTTATTTTATTTTTTACAAAAATACAAGAACATGGATCCCTCATTTACGCGAAATAACAACCATAAAATATGTATTTTAATTTTAAATTACCCATTTGATTTATGTCGGACCTACCTGATCTATGTAAGTTGAGTCCAACATAATAAAAGAGTTTTTATGGCATAAACTCAAGATGATATGAAATCACCATCTCGTTAAAACCTCATGAAACTTCAAGAATTTTTAGGTACTTGGGTATTTGAGGAGCTCACAGTTAATTATGTATGATTTGAGAGATTTAGGGCCACGTCTACTCATTACTTACAACTCCATAATGTTAAAATAATGCCTTGGATGCTGAAACATATTAGCCACATGATAATTATTACCTTTTATGGCACTAGGATCAATGTGTCAAACCCTGCTCATGTATTCTCATCCTTGGTGAAATATTTTGTAAACTTAAATCATACATAAATTACTTTATTTTTTAATCACATATTAATTATAAAAATTCAAGTCATATTTTTAACCACTTAGAGATATATTTACATATCTCTATAATATAACGTAAAAAAAGGTAGAGCGTTCCTTAGTGACTTGAAAAAAAAATGTTCAAGAAAAGGTGACCACTTTGTTTATAATGAAATTTTCATCGAATTTAATGTATATTAATTATTTTCAATTGGGGATACATTGTAAAGTGTAAATAGTGATCCAAATCAATAAATTTTGCTTTGTCCAAACAATAACTAATGTTACTGTAACATTATCTACTTAGTTATTAAGATCTAAGACAATCTTTGCTTCCAAATGTCAATAATTAATGCATTGTCATGACTCTTATGTTCTTGGTATATTGTCTTAGGTACAACTCGTCAAAAACCCTATGATGGAATGGTTCTTTCAAACTTATATTCACATAATTTACAACACCATAGTACTATTGCCATAGCTCCATTGTTGTTGGAATATGGTCTTAATTCAATCATGTGTCAAATGTAGGTACCATCTTCCTGGTAAAATATGTGAACTGGTTCCTTTGAGGTTACCTAATCTAATAGCTTCAGTACATTGTAATTATGCTATCGTCATGGGTTGACAATTTTCGGAAAAGGAAGCTTGTAATTCAAATGTTGCACTCTTTGGTTGACATTATTTGAAATTTTGTGATAGTTGATCATCAATAGTAAGCAAGATTTGTATTCCCTTGGTTATTTTGAAGTTAATCTGCCCACACACTTTAAAGTGTTAAACTTTATTAGCAATATGTAAAGTGAGCCTAGGAAGAATTCACAAGGAGAGGAAACCGAATGGGATGGAAACAAGGAAATTAAATAGCGCAATTAATACCCTCCATATGGTGGCGTGGAGTAAGAAACGGCAAGTCACGGGGTGTTCTTGCAGGATTCCACCCCACCCCCGCGATTCCGGGCTACTTCTCCCCGCCGAACTACGTCCGTTCTCACCCACCACCAACCAATAACTTATTGATTATTGTATAGTTTTGGGGCTCTAAATAATTAAAAAACAGGGTCCGTCGCCGGCGTCGGAGAGGAGGCCGGTCCAGTTCTTGGAGCGGTTTACAGATGACTGATGTTCACAAACCCCCGACTCCCCTGCTCCTCTTCATCTCCGTCTTCTGCCGAACTCGTCAAATGCCACGGCGTCTACCTTCGACGGGTATGCCCCCACCCGCCATGAACAGTTCCCGAAACACAGATGGGGTGTGTGGGGATCGAATACGGCAAGGCAGATGGGTTCGCGGCCGGAACTGTCCTCAGCCAGAGGCAGGATCTCTAGAACCCCAAGCGCGCAGAATGGAGATTTCAGACAGACATGCTGAGGAGAGGATGTGAACCCAAGTGTAGTGGAGAAAAACTGGTCTTGTTATTTGCCTCTGAGAACATAATGTTGTCGATCTACTGGCAGGAAGGAAGAGAGAACGAGCAGTAAGCAACGCTCTGAGCGGAGAATCTCTGAATCTTCTTCGTGGATTTCCCCGGTTCCTCGCCGGACGAGCTTGTCAAGGGGATGCCGGCCAGTGAGAGGCGTAGTCGTTGACGCGCATCATGTTGTGCCTCTTCGAGGGAGCGGAGGGAGGGACGAGGACGCCCCTCGGAAGGAAGCCGAAGGTCACGCATCCCTCGACGGCGGAGGATCGACGGCCGCTGGGGGTGGATAGGGCTTCACTACGCGTCTGGTCGTCGGAAGCTGTCGGCGCTCCCGCGGCAGCGCGTGAGAGATGGGTCCTCGCCCCGATGGAGCATGGGTAAGGGAGAACTAGGAAGAGGATGAGCAATGGGAGGGCGCGGTGAAGGACCCCGGCAGCCATTGGAGTATCTGGAGCGGATCGCTGAAAGCTTGGCCGGCGCTGTGGAAGTAGTGCCTGTTACTGACCGGGCATCCTCCCTTTATATTATGGGAGGTCGACAACTTTTCCGCTCCGTTGGATGACGTCAGAGAGAGAGAGAGAGCGAGAGAGAGAGGAGAGACAAAAGATGAGAGGAGTTCGAACCAGAGAGTGTGGGTGAGGAAACTTTCCGGGTGGAGAGGAGTAAGAGGAGTCCGCTCCCTAACTGTCCAGCGTCGTGCTCGCTCACACACTCGATCGACCAGGAAAGCAAAGCCGTCCTTCCTCCAGATCAAGGAATCGTTCATTCGAAACACTCCCCCATTTGCGCGCCAGCTCAAGCTGAGGGGATGTCGGTCCTCCGTCTGTCGTTGCAACATGTCGGCGGTGGGTTGCCTGCCGATCCAGCGTTTGACGGCCCGCCGAGATTTCCGCCGCTGGCATAACGTCGATCTCAGCGAGGAGTGAGAAACTTCTTGGGCCTGGCTGGTGGGAGGACAGCCTTTACGCAGTTACTTTCCCTGCTCGTCTCCGCTGGACCCCTTCAACCTCCGCCGCGGAGAGTCCAGCCTGCTGTCGTCACGCCGGTGGGCTTCCTCGTTCTTCTCGTCAACAACGGTGCCTGGCACGTTGCGCACACGCGTGCGTTCCATGCAGTAGGTCGCCGAAGCCATCCTCACGTACGGCAACCAACATCTCCCTCCTCTCTCTCTCTCTCTCTCGGACCAGCCGCTTCAGGTCTCATGTTTTTAAAGAGGTTAGCAGGTAGTATCTTCTCATCAATTCCTTCCGCCTCTAGCCTAGCTGATGAAGAGATTCCTGCTCCCCCGGACACCTGCGCCAGCAGCAGAGGCGGCGCAGCCGGTGCCTCTTATTCAAGGCTTCTGCCTCCACTTTCTGGACAGACCCCTCAGAAGGCAGCAGCCGGCGAGACCGACCACCGACAAGCACCCAATCCAAGGCACCAAAGCTGCCCATTTCATTGACCACCAGCCCAATCCACCCGAGCCCAGTATGCTCTAGAGAGGGAGAGAAAGAGGGAGAGAGGAAAGGGGCAGCATCTGAATCTGTCAATGTCCAGTCCGGAAGCACAATCACTCAGCCACTGTTTTCGCAGCTGGAGGGATCTCGCCGCTGCCACCGAGGTGTTCGACATCTGGAACCGGCTCGGCGTTGCTATCCCCAGCGGCGGCAGGGGGTCCGCCGGCCTCCTCTGCCGCGGCAGCATCCCTCGGCGCGGTCGCCTCCGCAGAGTCGGCCTCCGTCGGCCTCTGCAGCTTCTGCGGCTGCGCTTGGGATGCAGCGGCGGCCGCTGCCTCCGGGGAGGAGGCCTGGTGGGCCTTGGTGGCCTGCAGGATTCTCAGCCGGTACTCCGTCTCCGGCCGCCGGCAGACCTTCCTCAGGGGCACTATCTCCTGCAGCGGAGAGGGGCTCTCGCCATTCACACAACCAGACACGGCGACAGAATAATCCACACGCAGAGAGAAACGAAGGAAGGCTCTGAGATGAGGACTCACCTCGGATTGGTCGTGATCGTAGCGAACCAGAAACCTGCAGCGGCATCCGCGGGCGTCGTGTCTCCGCCTCTGAGCATCCAGGACGTGCGCATCGAAGTAGAGGGCCTGCTCTTTTCCTTCCTGGTAGCGGCATCCATGGCGGGTCAGCATCGTTGGCGAGTAAAACGGAGTGCACAGACAGACACAGGAAGGTAGAGGATGATGGTGGAAGAAAAGTGGCAATTTAAACCGAAGTTCAAGGGTTTTATATCATGGTGAGTAAAGTCAAAAGAAAAGCCATTATTCATTACAGAGAACAAAGCCGCAAAAAATGATATCTACACATAGTCCCATTGACTCTGGCAAAGTTTGATGGTCAGCTCTCGGGCCAGCACGGTCCCCCATTGGTCTAACCCGTGAGAGCTGACTACGATTATCGATTGACTGACTGACAAGTGCACGCTTATCAATCAAAGAAACAAACACCGCAGCCTCGCAGAGTTCCATCTATATTGCTCTGTCTGAACGAGGATAAAAACCAAGTATAAGAATCAAAACGCCTACATACTAGGAAACATATTCGCGGACGAGAACCTAGCTCTACGAGGATATGTATGCACGAGAACTCGGACATAGACACACGAGCATTTGGAGAATACGTAAAAACAGCCAAAAGACGCTGCTCCGCATGACAGAAATAAATGGAAGCTCTCCGATGATGGAAAAAAATATTGGATCAGCACAGCTCCGTAAGGCAACCACGATGCTGATGGCACGCACGATGCTGAGCCAATATATTGAAAATCGCATCATGAAGAGGCAGTTGAGAAGGTGCCTTGTTGAGCCAAGGGAATGAATCTCCAAGAGAAAGGCTTAAAACCAAGTACAATCCAAAGCATGACTCGTAGAAGATGTAAGCACCTGGAAACAGAGTATGAGATCTCCAGGAAGCACGACGACGCACTCAGAAGCTTCACATGGAAGAGACCGCTGCCGAACACACTTGCGCACATTAACCCACTCATCTTCCTCTATGCCAAAACCAGAAAAACGAACAAGAACTTCCTGAAATGAAAAATAGTACTTTTAAAAAATGATCGCTAGATATTCATGTCTAACCTAGCCATTCATGCAGAAAAATGATCCTACTCATCGTACAGAAATTAAACTCAAATCGTTTTCCCTTCTAAACATAATTACGACGGGAACCCACTGCCTACATGTTACATTTACTTCACACTGACGATTGAGGAGATGATCTTGTGTAAATCCTACGAACGAAATCAGATAATGTATGATACCTTCCTTACGAACCATATGGAATAACTTCTTGAATCAGTTAAAATGCATTGAATTTGATGCGCTAGAAAATGCCTTGTATTTCATCGCACCTAGAAGTTTTATGCACCAGAAGAAATTTAGGAAAAATTACCGGATCACCAGTCTCAAACATTCTGTGGGAAATAAACTGTGCAACATCATACCTGAAAATAAAAACACAGCACAATCAAAGGTTGAATAAACGTAATCCCATCACCAGATGCAAGGGTCTATATTGCCAAAAGAAGAAATCGCGAAATTGTACATGAATACAAAAATTCTGCACGAAATAAGCTGACGAATAGAGGGCCCACTCTGACTAGAGCGACCATAGGTTGCTTTTTATGCCAGTGGGTTTCTAAAGATTCAAGCTGATGCATGCCATGCTCTCTCTATACATATTACCAACGAATAATTGGTCACCATAAATAAAGTCAACTTGCAGAGTGGGTCTCCACAAAGTCCGTCAATTATTTATGTTCCAATGGCACCTCAAGCTAAAACAAAAGCCGTCTTATCAATTTTTGACAGCTCCAGGGGACCATTGCTCCAGATAAACTTTTTCTAGGGAGGATTCCATGCATAATATTTATTGGCATTTAATCGAACCGACGACCGTCTGAAGTCCGATAACAACAAGATAATTAACGTGCGATCCTATTTCGGCCCAACAACATTTTTTATTCTGTTTACAGAAATCTACAAGATTGACACTATGCATCGCCCACAATTCCACATTCATAAGGTCTGTCCACCTTCTATATTTTATTAAATTAAAAGAATTTTTTGGTACAGAATTCTTCTCTGCCATGCTAGATCCAACCCAATGCAAGAAGAACCCAGGATAAAACCCTGAGTCATGTAGGATCGCACCAAAGGGCAATAATCAGAGAGCAAAGTGATTCTATGAACTCGTCTTCAGTGAGATCAGACAAACGTTGCCGAAATCAGACAAACAGAATAAAAAAGAACTAATATGCTCACATCATGCCACAGTTAAGTGCTCAAGTCAAAAACAATGTTTCACACATGAAGGGTAAGAGATTTTAGCAATACTGCTGCATTATAAGTTACTCCAAGTAACAAACAAAGGAAAACTAATGGGAAGCACTAACCATGCACCATCTCTAGCTGATTTGGCTTCAAACTCCATCTGATTGCCGTCTAAAGAATTCTTTGCTGCATAGTTAAAGGAATTAACAAATCAGAATTCCCATTAGTTGTCTGAAGATTTCTTCGCTGCAAATGTGAAGCAATAAATAAATCAGCATTGTCAATAGATCTAATGCAATTAACCTGTAGAATGCACGGGATCAAAAATGTAGGACAAATGTGTTGAAATGCAACACAGAAAAAACTATCATTGATTTGGATAAAATGCAGCAGTACTTAGTCAACTTAAGAGATAAAATCAGCTTCAGCATAGCTTAAATAGATAACAAACTAAGGGTTGACAAGACAACGCCAGCAGACGAGTCTATAAGCGACACTTGACAACATTTTGACTTATGAGAAATAAGATCGCTGAAGCAGGGGCAGTCAAAAAGCAGAATCATTGGTGGATGAATCATTGACTGAGCATCTGGTTTACATTCTAGTCAGATATTGCTTTCATAGGCTAGATTCAGATTCACAGTATAGGGAGAAATGACAACTTCTGCTGTTAGCTCCTTTTTCAAAGATTCAGATTTAAAATTGTGACTTTCTGTGGATATTGCTCATTTCCAACGTAGACAGCATCTTAATTCATGTGATAAACACGCATGCACGGTTTTGGTTTATGAAGCGGCGGTTACATCCTCTTACTAATTCGGATAGGCCCAAAAACTAGTCTCAACTGGGTAACAGAACATGCTTCCCAAGAGGAGTTCCAACCTTGAGCAGAAGGAGCCGGAGAAGCTACATTTCTGATTTGAATAGGTTCATCCCGAGCTGCTGGCGTAACATTCAGTTTGCCCGGAGCCTTAACCACCTTTGCCCGTTGAGCATACCTTCTATTCTGGAACCAGTTCCACACCTGAAAACATCCAATGTGGTTGATGAAGAAAAGCTCCCCGGCGGATGAATCCCGCATTTCAAGACGAGCGGAGACGCTATTCTCACCTGCTTAGGTTGTACGACCACCTTCCCACTTCTCTCAGCCGAGGCACTTCAGGCAAATAAAATGCAAACATGACTCTATCAGTGATTTACAAGAGCATGGGTAAAAGATTGTATGAACACCGGCCTTTGTGGCTAGCAGCGCCAATGTTATACGACTTGAACACGCAAGAGACGCACCTGAACTTCTCTGCGAGGGAGCTGATGAGTCCTCGATCAGGTATTACATTGTTGGACACTTGCAAGCAGGCTTCCATCTCCATCACCTGGACAAATGAAAAAAGATTGGTGCTAAATAACGACGAAGTGTAGACCGATACGGAGTGGCGACGGAAAACCGATTAGGATTCCAGCCAATGCATTATAGGGTTCCCTGGTTACCGAGCTCAAGCTATAATCCAGATTTCTCTAGTACAAGATTATGGCGCCGTGCCCTAATCGACAGCCACAACCACACCCCCCCCCCCAACCGCCGAGTAGAATACCAGTGGACACATTGAACTGGTATGCGGCGACGACGTCGAAACACAAACTCCGGTTGTCCTCGCGTATTTTGGGGATTGGGGAATCCAGCCAGGCGTGCGAAGAGGCAGACACTCGCAGAATGAGAAAGAACTCGTAGCAGAGGTCGAGACTACGGAAGACAAAAATGAAACCCTAGCCATCCCATTAAATTTCAATCTTCTTCGTCCGGAATGGTGTACCTCGCTTGGCGTGAAACGGAATACGGGGCCTCCCCCGAGAGGCGGCCGCCCCATTTTCTCAGCAGCCTCCGCCGCCCTGACGAACGCCAGACAATCCTCCCGGTCCCCCGCGCCCCAAAACCGTCGGAGACGACGGCGTCACAAGCAGCAACAATCCTAGCGATAGATCATTCTGTATATAATTACAGAACTATAAGAAGACGCAGAGGAATTTGACAACCAGCAACCTCACAGATAGAGAGACAGACAGACAGAGAAGAAGAGGGGTGCGGCCGGGAAGAATGAAGGCCCTTCAGCGTCAGCTTTAACATGAAGACCGATTTATAGTCCACTTTTATATTATTCTACGATTTATTAATATATTTTTAGAAATAGTGAAAACTTCGATGCTATTAATATATTTAGTTCGAAAACTATGTTGAACATATTATTTACAGACATAGTCGTCCGCATCCAGCGCCGCCGCCACCGGCTCCGTCGGCGGGAACTGAACGGCGGCGAGCATGGGAAGACGCGGTGGCGCCGCCGCTGGGACACCATAACGATTACAACGAGCGGGTTGACCAAAGGATTCCTACGACGGATGATGGTCAGGAAAATAAAAACCCAGACAAATATTTACGACAAGACATGACAAGCTAGACAGAAAATGCGGAGCCGTCCGATGAGCAAGCAGCCTCAGAAGAACGCTCAGGGGGAAGAAGAAGACGGTTCCGTCTTCTTGGGCTTCCTCGCGAATGGCCGGCAGGCCTGGATGCTAAGGTCGACGGCGGCGGCGAGCGCCATGAAGATGGCGGCGTCCTCAACACAGGTCACATGGCGGACGGCCAGCTGCACCAGGGGTTTGCTGCTCTTGCCCTCCCCCCGCACTGTACAGTTCATCACGAAGCCGCCGGCGGCGCCGGGCAAGGGCGCCGCCGTCGGCAGGGAGTCGGCCGGAGTTGCAGCGGCGGGCCTCTGCCTGTCCATGTCGATGAAGAACTCGCCCCCGCTGTCTGCGCTGATCAGCACCTCCGCGATCTGCACGCCGTCGTCCCGCCCTTCCGGGAGGAGGAAGAGGCGGCAGCAGACTGACTCCCCGCCGGCGGCGCCGCCTCTCTCTCGCCAGGCCTCGAGGCGGGCCCAGGGATGCCAGCTCTCCGGCTGGCCGGGCGGGTCAGGGCGGAGGATGAGCCAGGCGCCGGGATTGGAGCGGGCGACCCAATCAGAGCCCGTCGACGGCACAAAAGGGGTCGCCATGAAAGCAGCCGCCACGGCAGAGCCGGAGAGGTCGTGAATCATCACCCTCCAACCCTTTCTCTCCCTTCTCTCCCCATCGCCGTCGGCGTCGTCACTATTGGAGTTCGACCAGCAGCTGCTCGTCGCCTCCGCCTGACTCGCCCTGTCCCAAACGTCGGTCTAGTCAGTGAAGAAGAAGAAGAAGAAGAAGAAAAAGAAGAAACAGAGCTGGATGAAGTCGGCGAAGAATTCAGTGAAGAAGAAGAAGAAGAAGAAGAAGAGGAAGGAAGGGCCGTACGTACCGTCTCTCCCGGCTAAACTTGCAGCTGAAGATGGGCTGCTTGATGGTGCCCTGGAGCTGGACCACTTGAGGGCTCAGGGCGGTTTCGTCCTCGAACTGGAAGACGTATCTCGGGTCGGGGTCCAGGTTCACTCTCAGGTGCAGCTCCGGCGGCGGCCTGTCCTCTCCCCGCAAGCTCCTCCCGAGGTCGACCCACCCGCTGTGGAGCAACGCCGGCCGCCCCTCGCCCCACTGAGGCCCCACCCGCAGCCTGAAAGTCCCGACCTTCCGCCTCCTGCCGCCGAAACCGCAGCGGGATCGCCGCCGCCGTCTGTAGACCGCGACCTCCAGACATGACCCGGAGGCTCGGAGGCAGCGCGAGACCATCAGCGCCTTCACGTCGGACTCCCCGAGGTAGAAGACGACGGCCGGATTGTCGATGGGGCGCTCCGGGACGGCCTCCGGCGACGGCAGCAGCGGGACTGCCGCCGTTTGAGTAGGGAAGCCCCGGAGCCGAATCTCGCAGGAGTACAACGAACTGGCCGGCGGCGCAGATGTCGACGGCGCTCTAGTCGGCTGCGTCCACAGACCAAGCGACCCAATGGAGACCCTGACGAAGGTCTGCGGGTCCATCGCCACTCTCACAAGCTCATCTTCACCTAGTCACTGGGGCGGTGCTGACCCATTCTATCGACTGCATTGACATTGACACTAACATCGAAGGAAATCGATCGCGCGTCAGAGATCCTCGTGATACCCACGGGGAGGGGGATTCGATCCCCCAGAAATCGAACAGCTTTTATTTTCTTTTATTTTCTTCTCTTCTCTTCTCTTCTCTTCTTTCTCTAGAGACTATGGACGGCATTAGAGATTAACACGCTGCAACCAATACCCATCTTCTGGAGATGTTCTCCGATCCTCGCCCCGCAAGGAAGGGATGACGGAGCAATCAATCCCCAGCCCCCCCTTCTGCGGGGATTTTTCTTTTACCTCTAACCCAAGGCCTCGAGAATTTCGTCGAAAACAGCAGATTAACACTGCCAGGAAAAAAGAGGACTAGATCAAACAAAATCTCGGAGATCAGCGGTGCACCAATCTCCTCATTCCTATCTCCACATCCAGTGTGCGACAGGAGCCAAAGGTGGAGGAGCAAAACTTACCCTGGTTCCCGTCCGGCAGGGCCCTAATCGGCGGCGACCCGGCGTTCCTCTGCTCTTGGTCGTCGTCCACAGCTGTTCCTTCCCCGTTCGCCGGTCACGCCGCGGGGAGAGCAGGACCTCGGGTTGCGGCCCCACTTCCACCAGGGAGAAGCGGGCGGTCTACATCCCCCAGGGCCGAGAAGGAGCGGCCGCAGAGGAAGGGAAGGCGAGAGAGTGCCGATTCCCCGATCTTCCCGCCTCCTTCCATCGCAGGGTCTCCCTATCCTAGCATTCTACCAGCGCCGGCGGCTACAGGGAAGGCAGGCGGTGGAGGCGGCGACGGGTAGCGGAGAAGAGGAAGAGGAAGAGGAAGAGGAAGAGAGAGGGCAGCAGCAGGTGGGAGAAGGAGGGAGCTTTCTCACCTACTGGGGCCCTGGAAGCCCAAGTCATCAATTAAATGAACATCTGGGGGCTTTGTAAAATTATGCAAGTCATAGAGGGTTGTAAAGTAAATTAAGAGGAGCGTTGGAGAACAGCTGTACTTGGCCGCGACGCGCTCGTAAATTACTGGGGCGGAAATCATCCGTACTTTCTTATTTGTATATTTTTTTGGCGCAAATAAAATTAATAAAAAAAGAACCAACGAGCGGCGACGGTCGCAACGCAGATTTCGCCACGTGGCATGATCGAGGGCGTCCGAATGGCCTATAAACTCTCGTCCCCTCCGGCAGCCGGGATCGGAGCAGGCAATTGCTGTACAGACAGCGATGGTGGGGCTGGGGCATGGGGGAGGATGGAGCTAGGGTTAGGGTTCTTCCGATGGAACTCGGGTGGTGGCGTTGGGGGTGGGGTTGCCGGTTCTGCTGCTGGCTGTCTCTAATTCGCTTGGTGCAGGTCGGGAACGGGGCCCTTTAACGCCGATGGCTTCCTCTCTTCTGGTGGCGGCGCCCGCCCCCGTTCCCGCCTTGCATCAACTGAATCGGAGACAGAAGTGAGTTCATATTCAGGGAGTGGTGGTAAGATCGGGAAAAGGCTGCCAGGGTTCGATCTCAGATCCGGTCAGATTCGCCTAATGTGCTCTGCTCTCTATCTGGTTCAGACCGTTCCTCTCTGTGTATCTCCGCCGATCGCACGATCTGCAGCGTCCCCTACCCGTAATGCTGTGAGAGGACTTGGATTTGATCAAGTGCAAGGTAGTCCGGGTTATCTTGGCTGCCTTCATTAGATCCGTCTTTTTTGCATCTCTGGGGCATTCTCTTTTCGTTTTGTTGGATTCTCTCGGTGTTCCTCCAGTGCACAAGTAGTACTTTGCGATATCTTTGCCAGACGGGGGCCGGGGGGGGAGGAACCTTGATCCAACGTTGTGGGAATCCTGAGATCCTCTCCCGCCCCACATTGCCTTTTCCTTGCACCTTTTCTTGAGGAATGATCGATCTGTTGAAGTTCGTTCGCAGCGGTAACCCTTCGTGGTCTTCCTATACTTGTTGCCGGGGTCTTGTCGGCCATGGGAAGAGAAGACTCAATTTGCACTGGTCTCCTCCACTTCTCAAGTGTGTTGTCAGCCCGGGCTCGACGGGTCAAATCATTGGGTTTCATGGCTTCCTGTATCCGTCCGAATTGTAGATTTTGCATCATTCTCTTGCCGATATCCTCCTGTTCGGGGACAGTCTTATCAACCCAGGCATTTTTAGTAGCAACCTGGGACTCTCGGTGAGTCCGCCCGCAGAGCCCTGTATTTTGAACCTCTAGCGGGGGAGTTTCTTGAATCATAACTCAATTACATGCTAGCTTCATTGTTTAGGAATCAGGCCAACCAACCCCTTCCGAAACGTTCCGTTGCAGAGGATCTTGGCCCTCCTCAAACACCTTGTGAGTTCATGCCCTTTCATCCTAGCAAGAAAAAGCAGGTGGAACAGCACTTGGTCTCTAGGCCCAGTAGGAGCAAACCCCTGCTGTTTTCTCTCTTTCATTGTCGTACTACTCGTGCTTCCTCCATCAAAGGCAAGTGGGATGTGTTCTTAATGTCCTGTGTCGAAATCAAATGTCGACACGCATGCATTTCTCCCACAGATCTCTTGACTGGGGTCGACCCTCTCAAAGTTTAATGGTGATGGTGTGACATCAGCGCTTGCTCATCTGGCGTTAATGGTGATGTGAAGTTCTGTGACGAGAAAAGCTCGGCCCTTTAGCTTCCCCCTCTGGTGTACCCATCTTTTTTCTTACCTGAACTCCCTCCCTAGTGGACATAAACAAAGGGAGCAAGCAAGTATCTGCACGTCTCCCCTGCTAAAGGGCGCCACAACTGTCTGATTGGCCAGCCTGCTCCTCTGCTAAATGCTGCTAAGGCTACTCCTCTTTAATATTTTCGATTATTCTGTTGTCTAATCCACATTTAAATCAGAAATTATCCAATGGATCTCTTCTTCCCAGCGGGCAAATCGATTTCGGCTTTTTCTTTTTTTTTCCTCAGACCTGATTCGATACAGGTGGCTTGACTTTCTTTCTCCGTATAAGTTGATATCCCATTCTTATGCCGGATCTCTCCACCAAACCTTTTTTTTCCTCAGACCTAAAAATCTCTTCACATGTTTGCTTCTATGGCAGAACTATCGGAATCATAAGCTAATGCGTTGAGGATTTTCCTCAATGAATTTTACGGATCGTTTTGTTACACGACAGAAATATGTGGTCCTCGGCAGTTTGGGCTGGCATGGCATAACTTAGGATGCCAGGGAGAAAGGATTTCGATGAAGATCTGTCTTCTTCTTTTTCTTCTCATCAGTAATGTGTCTGTATCTGCACTGTACCTCACAGATCTGATGTAATACCACCATGAATCAATGCAAGATCATTTTCGCTACCTCTCCCCCTTTATAGTATGCTTCAATTGCGCCTCATATCATGTCTATTTTCTCGAGTAAAAAGACGGGGGTTTCATCTTGTTGGAACGGGAGAGATTGTTGAGCCACTAGGTGTTAAAATAATCATGCCCATGTTTCATCTCTCTCTCTCTCCCCCCCCGGCCCCCCCAGTCCCTCGTTTCAGACCCCTGCTGGCTTCAATCCGCCGGCTTCGCGTCCCGTCCCACTATCGGCCGCCTCTGTTATTTTGTACAAATTCTTGCGGGTATTTGACTCGTGCCCTCGAAATATCTCGGGTCCCCACAGCCACCAAAATCCGAGATGTGGAGGGGCGATGACGGCGCCTAGGTTGGTTCACTCGGGCACTTGGAGGGGGACGGCCTCGAGCTCCGTGGAGATATCCTTGTGTTCCGTCTGAACCTCTAAGGGGTTGCAGGGTAAAAAGGCCAGTGGCGCTCCGCCGCCGGGGGATGGTACCCGTATGTTCTCCGCTTGTACACCGCCGCGACCTTCTTTACGTCCCCCGCCGTCGTCCCGCTCCGACGCGGCTATGTTCGACGCGGCGGTGGCGCTTCGCTGCGTCGCTCCGCTCACCCGATGTGGCCCCTTCCGGCGGCGCCGCTCGTCCGTCGCCGACGTCTGTTCTCTCACGTCGACGCCTCCTCGCAGAGAGGACGAGGATGAGGAGGAGGAGGTCTCGAGGGATTCTTACAACGAGCGGATCCGCCTGCGCTGCCGCGCGGGAGAGGTGGACGCGTCCATGGCGCTGCTGGCGCGGATGGAGTCCACAGGGCTTTCCCCCGACGAGGCCTCCTGCGCCGCCCTGGTCTCCGCGCTCGGCGCCGTTGGGCGGACGCTGGAGGCCGAAGCCGTCTTCCGGGAGCTCAAGCGGCAGTCGGAGCGCCCGCCGGCGGTGGGCTCCTACAACGCGCTGCTGAGGGGGTTCCTGGGGAAAGGACAGCTGGGACTGGCGGAGGCGCTGCTGGCGGAGATGCAGCGCGACGGCGTGCGGCGGAACCGGGAGACATACCTGCTGCTGCTGGACGCCTTCGCCCGCGCGAGGCGGCTCGATGACGCCCAGTGGGTGGTGGCGGAGATGAAGAAGAAGGGCTTCTTCCTCCGGCTCGACTCCGCCGTCTACAGCAAGCTCATCCGGCTCTATCGGGACAATGGCATGTGGAAGAAGGCCACCGGACTGGTGGCGAAGATGCGGGCGGCCGGCGTGCGGCCGGACAGGAGACTCTACAACGGCGCCATCGACGCCTTGGGCGAGCACGGGCAGACGGAGGAGATGATGCGGGCTTTCGAGGCCATGCGGCGGGACGGCATCACGCCGAACATCATCACCTGGAACTCCCTGATCCGGTGGTACTGCCGAGCAGGGGACCTTGACCACGCCATGGCCCTCCTCGGGGAGATGCAGGAGGCGGGATTGTACCCAGACCCGAAGATCTTCCTCGCCGTGATCAGCCGGCTGGGGGAGCAGGGCAGGTGGGAGGAGATCAGGGGCGTGTTCGAGGGAATGCGCCGCCGGGGATTCCGCCAGAGCGGCGCCGTCTACGCCGTGCTCGCCGACATATACGGGCAGTACGGGACGTTCGCCGACGCCGAGCAATGCATCGCCGCACTCAAGGCGGAGGGTCTGCAGCTTTCGGCCAACGTCTTCTGCGTGCTGGCGAATGCATACGCCAAGCAGGTCCGGGGCCGCCTCCCTCCTGACCGCCATGGCCGAGGTTCTCTCTGCCTTCCTTCCATGGCTGACTGAATGATTCGTCTGGCGCGCAGGGACTGTGCGAGCAGACGGTGAATGTTTTCCGGCTGATGGAGGCGGAAGGGATCGAACCCAACCTCATCATGCTGAACTCGTTGATCAATGCATTTGGGATCGCCGGAAGATGCGGTGAGGCGCTGTCGATCTTCGAGCACATCAAGGAAATCGTAAGTCCTTCTGAACGGGGCACTCCCTCTGGCTATGATCGTCGTCGTCTCCCCCTAACCCTGCACCATCGGTTGTGAAGGGCATCGCCCCCGACGTGGTCACCTACAGCGCCCTCATGAAGGCTTTCATCAGAGCGAAAAAACATGAAAAGGTTGGTGGCGTCGACATGAAAAGCTTTTCTTTTCTCAGTGCAGATCAAATTCCTATGGCGAACTGTCTTGCATTGATGAAGGCTCGCAATTTTTGGCTTCATGGCTGGCTTATTTTGAGGTCCAATTTATTCATCCCGGTTTCCCCTCCTTTTTCTGAGTCAGGTTCCCGAGATCTACAAAGAGATGGAGCTTGCCGGATGCACCCCGGACAGGAGGGCAAGACAGATGCTGAAGAATGCTTCGGTCCTTCTCCAACAGCGGGGCTGGTCAGCTCTCTCTCTCTCTCTCTCTCTCTCTCTCTCTCTCTCTCTCTCTCTCTCTCTCTCTCTCTCTCTCTCGTGCTTCTTCAACTGCCTCTCTTTGTGATGACGAGAATGATCCCTGCTGGCCGTGGGCAGGATTTCTCTTTGATGAGTTCAGGAGGCAGTGGCTTCTCCCACCGCACACCACTCTTCTTAGATAGATCATTACTGTTGGCAGGCGGCCAGAGGGGGACCGGAGGTGTTGACCATCCTCTGTTTAAGAAGTCCAGCGCCATTTGAGGTAAATCAAATTAGAAGGTTGGACTTTCTTGCACCACCGCCATCTGCCGCAACTTCTGAAATGGAGCCTGTCTAGGAGCACCCTCTATGTGGAAAGATTTCATGAGATTTCTTTTCCCTCAAAGAATTTCATAAGCCTGTCTAAAAGATCGTTCAGTCAATGTAGGACTAAATCGATTTCTCAAATGTTTTTAATAATTTTAATACCTTAAATATTTCTAATTTATAAGAATGAGATATCTTTATGATGTCACTTTTAAAATGGTATTTGAGTACTTATTTCACACTCTCTTTATAGGTAGAATATTAATAATGGTTTAATTTTATCAGGACTAAAAGTTATATTTGTATCTAATTAAATCATATTTTTTTAGTACATTATTGGTGAATGATTAAGTTATTAAAATCACTCAAATATTGGTGAAAAGTTTGTCAATGTGATTTATGAAATATTTTTATTGAAATTATCAAATCTTTTTAGATAAAAATATCATGAAATCATTAAGTAAATCAACTTCAATTGATTGATGAATAAATCGTCATTAGGAAGAGGATGATTTATTAAAAGATAAGTCACCACCTATTGAAAGTATACTAAATGTAATGAAAAATTTCTTGTTGTGCGAATTTGAGGATAAAGTTCCTTAAGATGCACTTTACCTCTATTCAATTTATTTTCATCAGGTGACAACTACTAAAGATAATTCTAACAACTTATTTCATTAATTTCTAAATTTCATAAAAAGATTTAGAGATTATCATGCCATCTTTATCCAAGGACTTTTGAGGTTATGAATATTACATGATAATTCTCCCAAATGCTCATTATTCTAACACATTAATATTGTGACATTGGAACTCTATTTTATCATTTTTTAACTAGTTTAACTTTCATTTTTATTTTCTAAACTTAAAAAAAAGATTTAGTAAATGCCCAAGTCATCCATGTCTAAGGAAATCTTTAAAGGTTATAGACATCATTTGATAATCCTCTCAAATATACATAATTTTTGTGATCACTGTTGTAATATTAAAACTCTCTTTTTTTATTTCAGTTTAATTTTCACTTAATTTAGTAATATGTGAGAGATTTCAATTTTTGCAACTATTCTTCATTAAATTATAATTCTTTTCACTTTTATAGATTTTAATTTGACTAATTAAATCATTTGTGATCACTTACATAAAAATCATTAGGAGAAGTCTATTTCTATTGAATTCATATTCATCAGATTGTTGATATCATCCTAACATCTGTACCCTTATTTTCCTTTTTTTCATGAATTTTTGAATATAGTTTATATTCATAATTTAGTCTAAAAATAATAAAAATATATATTCTTTTAGGAAAATTTTAAAATATTATATGATATTATCTTATATCCTTGTGATCAACTTGAAAATTCCTCACTATTTTTCAAACATTTTCATAAATTATAATTAATTTATTTTTTTCTAAAATATTTCTAAAAATCTAAATTTTAGTATTTTCTAGTTTTATAAATTTAAAATTTTTATGATTATTATAAAATGACTAGGTCATGTCAAATTTTGATGTCATTGTCGAGGATATATTACATAATATTTGATATTTTTTATTTTCTCTTAGAGTACAAAAAAAATTTAGCTCTTATTTTTATTTTCTTCTTACAAATAAAAAAAATAGAACAAAGAGCAGCATGATAAGGACTAGAGTAAACTAAAGGAGGATAATAAATTTTTAACTTTTTCTTCAAATTTATTGATTTTTATGCGTGGTAGAAGATCCTTACATCTAAAGCTAGAAAATGTTTCTACTATTTCTCCAAAATTAAAAATCTGAAATAAAAATTAATTTTGATGAATCAAAAAGGTAGTATAAATTAAATTGAGAACAATCAATTCTATAGCTATGAAAAATCATTATATCTTTGATTCATTTCAACGAACATCTAATATAATAGTCTCATTAACACCTATAATTAAATTTAAAATATATCTATAAATTTTTCAAATAATTTCTAATTTTGATAGATTACTTTTAAAGCAATGTTATTAGTATTTAGAAAATTTTCATATGATATGTGATTTAGTAAATCTCTCTCAAGTTACACTAGAAATTATTAAGATGAAATTATTTTCTCATATATTTAAGGACAAGACAAGTTATTGACTATCCACATTAAATAAAGAATCTAGTTGAAAAAATATAGAGCAAGTTTTTCTTCAAAAAAAATTTCTCTTCAGAAAAATTTAAAATATGAGAATATATATAGAGTTTTACTTAAATGTTAAAAAAAACTTTACATGAAACATGAGAAAATTAAAACCATTGTATAGAAACTGTCATCATCATGTTATTTGAGAGTAGTAACTCAATAAAAAATTTTATGATGAATTATCAGAATAATATAGAAATATAGTTGATTCTATATGTGAAAGAGCTTTTATAGAGATAACTCAAGATGAGATTTATAACCTTTGTGAGAATTTAAGTGAAAATTCTAAAGATCAAGCTTCTTTTAAATTATATGACAAAGATAAGAAAAAAAGAATTTATGAATTACATCATCAAGATCATTTTAATTTAATAAATAAAGTTAATGAAATTAATCAAATATTAAAAAAATAATTTATTTACTGACAATATTATAAAGCTTTCAATCTTCAATCTAATTTAAATAGTACTTGTCTTATGCATGACGAAAATAATCATTCTGAATTTCAATGCTATAATTTAAATCAAACATTTTTGCCAATGCAAAATAACTACAAGTATCCTATGGTTTTAATAAAATAAAGAAATATTTTTCTAATTCTTATAATATCAATTAGAGAAAAAAATTGTGAAGAGACCTAATAATTTAAAATCTTTAAGCACTTAGACCTAATTCAAATTCATAATTTCATTCAAAATTGAAATCTAAATTTTAAAAAAAATAACTCTCTCAAACCCGATGACATGACTTAGTCGTTGTATAGTAAATCACGCAAATTGAAAATTTATAAAACTAGAAAATATAAATTTTTAGATATTTAGAAATATTTATAAATATAAATATCAATTAAAATTTAATAAAACTTCTAAAAATAGTAGAATTTTTCTAAATCAATCACACGGATGTAATATAAAATCAGATAATTATTCAAAATGTTTCTCAAAGAATAGTTTTTTTTATAAATTTTATACTAAGAAATGAAAATAAAATATATTTAAAATTAAGAAAAAAGGAAAATAAGGGTGTGAACGTCAAGATAATGTTAGTGCCTGACGAATGTGAATTGAACGAAATTAGAGTTCCGCTGAGCGATTCTTACATAAGTAATTATAGATTATTTAATAAATCAAATTAAGAACTGTAAAAATCAAAAGAATTAGAATTGAATAAAATATATCTTTGTAAATTTAAATCACATAAATTGTCACTAATTAAAATAAAAATTATGTTCAAAGTAGGAAAATAGAGTTTCGGCGTTGCAATGACAATATGTCAATAATGTACCGGAATCTTGAGCATTTGAGAGGATTGTCATGTAGTGTCTATGGTCTCGAAGGATCTCTTTGGACAAGGACGACATGAGTAATCTCTAGATCTCCTTGTGAAGCCTATAGATCAATGAAATGGGTCATCAAATTATCTCTAATGGCTGTTGACGTGACTCAGTCGTTGTATATTAAATCACGCAAATATAAAATTTATAAAACTAGAAAATACGAATTTTTGGATATTTAAAAGTATTTCTAAATAAATATATCAATTATAATTTAATAAAAATTCCAAAAATAGCGGTAATTTTCTAGGTCTATCACAGGGATGTAATATAATATCTGGTAATTATTCAAAATTTTTCTCAATGAATACGATTTTTTTACAAATTTTATACTAGGAAATAAAAAAGAAATATACTTAAAATTCACAAAAAAAAGAAAATAAGGATGCGGACATCAGGATGACGTCAGCGCCTAGCGAACGCAAATCAGGCGGAAACAGAGTTCCGCCCGGTGATTCTTACGTAAGCGATTACAGACGACTTAATTAATCAAATTAAGATCTATAAAAGTCAGAAGAATCATAATTGAACGAAGTATAGTTTGGTAAATTAAAATCACATAAAGTATCACTAAATGAAACGTAAATTAAATTGAAAGCAGGAAAACAGAGTTCTGGCGTCGCGACGGCGATGTGTTGGCAATGCACCGGAATCCTGAGTGTTCGGGAGGATCGTCGTGCAGTGTCCATGGCCTCGAAGGCTCTCCTTGGACAAAGACGACGTGGGCAATCTCTAGATCTTCTCGCGAAGTCTAGAGATCAATGAAGTGGGTCATCGAATCGTCTCCGGCAGCTGTCACCCGGCAGAGCGGAAAAACGGCGACTTTGCGGCTCTCCGGCGGCTGTCACCCGACGGAGAGGCGTTGGATGAAGGTGGGGCGTGTGTCAGGGAGCTTCATCCTCAAGTCCGTGCAACAAGAGGAGGCTCTTCATCGCATTAGGTATGCTCTTAGGAGGTGGCGACTGGTCTCCCGGCGGATCGTCTTCTTCCCGACAACGGCTTGTTCGTCGATCAATCGAAGATGATTTACTCGATGGATTCGCGATCCTTTTATCGCGAATCGTTCAGCAATTTTAGTAGCAATACTCCACGAATCGCGTTGACGAGATTTTTGCCGCTGATCCAGCGATTCTCGTTGCTTAATCCTTCACCGGTGATCTGCAGAAAAGTCGCGATAATGAGATAAAAATATATGAATTTTGACTCTGGGAGGATTCGAACCTGCGCCGGTCGTCCCGCCTCTTCTGAGGAAGGTGTGACGGGGGTTTAGTCCCACATCGGTTGTACGCCGAG